ATTTAAGATATGAATTTTAGAGACTTAATCCTATAAAAAAGTGCGCGTATGTGATTTTTGACCACAAATACTTTTCGAGATATAAGACTTCAAACATTGAAGAAGGGGGGGGGGTGAAATTTTTGAAAGTCAAAATAAAGATACAAAAGTTATTTTGAGGATAAAAATATGTTTTAACTAATTAGTAGAACATATCCTGTAAGTTTCATATAAATCAGACCTGAACTTCCGGTTTTATGGGTCTTTTAATTTTTATGTTAAAATGAAATCAGTTATGTAACAGTATCTAACTTCAGATCAAAATGAAAATATTTTAAGGAGACCATTATTTGCTATGAGGAAAAGTTAAATAAATCCTCAATTGTATATTCAGACATATTTTGCTCAAAACATTGTTTTTATATTATAATAAGTTATGCTATAAAACTTATTTTCTTTACAAGTTTTTAAACATTGCTCTTACAATTAAAAAAAATTGTTTTTATTTGATCTCAATAATCTTAAATAACCATCAACCTCTTTCGGTTATAAATAACAAATCCAACAAAAGCAATAATACGTTCGGATGGGTAACATTTTATTAACGTATATTTTAATAAGTATTGTTTTTTTTTAAACTTGGAAAATGGAGAAAGATTTATTGTTTCTAGAACAATAAAGTTTTAGGAATGCAAATACAAAAGAAAATCGCTTAATGCTACTTGATCATCGTAACAGCTATCAGTAACCGAGTTCGTGATAAAAAATGGATCAATTGAATAATTTTAATTTCCAATGCCGATAAAAAGGTATATATTAGTAAATTTAACCGGGTGTGTAATATAAATTTATATGGATAGGAAGATTATTTTCGTAGTTTTTATTGCCTGAAAGTACGTCACGTGATATTCCTCCTTTTTGAAATCGATGCGAAAGCGCGTCTCCGGAAGTAATATCGCACGGCACGCCTTTCTGTTGCACTAAAGTTACGTAGTACATGACGCCATAATATAAGAAGCGTGAATTTAACCATTGTGACGTAACGACAGTCAAGTCCGTTCAGTTAGGACTTTGGCAGTGCATTTAATTTGAGTGATTATAAATATAACTATGGTGGACTTCAGTGAACGGTCACTATAGGGTTATAAGGACTCTTGGTAATTGATATTGACCTCGCAGACTCGGTCGCTATCACTTTCTGTATCATCGGTCAATATCAATTGTCATGAGTCCTTATAACCACCATCGACCAACACTTAAGTCCTTAATTGTATAATATCAAATACAGTCTATATATATAAAGTTTAAATATTTTAAATAGGAAATGTCTGATCTAATATAGATGGTGTGTTGATATTTTATTGTTTATAATTGTAGGTAACAGTATGCTAGACACAGGAAATGTTGACGGGGATCTGTCAGGGATGTCATTCTCTACCCACGACAGGGACAACGACAGATGTAGATGTAACTGTGCCTATAGTAACAGAGGAGGCTGGTGGTTCAACTACTGTCACTACGCCTACCTGAACGGTCCCTGGTCCTCGTCACGCTGGGGGTGGCCATGGCATCCTACAGTAGAAAGTGGTATAGAGATAAAGGAAACCATAATGATGATCAAACCTCACTGAGTGGGCTATATCTTATAGTAAGAGATTGTAGAGAGATAAAGGAGACGCTAATGATGATGAAACGTCATTGAATAAGTTACGTGATGTATTAATGATGTGCTGAGGTTGACTTATCGTATGAAACTGTAAAGAAGACGCTTATTATGATAAAACCTCTCTGGCTGTGTCATATCATATTTGTTGAGATAATTCTTTGTAACGTTGTTTATACATGTACATACAAAGTCGGATAAGTTAATTATAAATGATATCTTTATCCCAGTCATGATAGTGTCTCTATATATCATAAAATATTGTTGAACTTATTATATTATATTTCATTATTTATTTATTTAAATAAGGTCTCATTTATTTCTGAAAAAAATGATATAGCTCATTTATCCAATAAGAAAATACGATTTTTAATTTTTTGATATAATGTAAATTTTGTTTTTATGTAACTTCATGTCATTTTATCATTGATCATATCAGATAAATGAATAGCATTAAATCTGTTTACTTCTAATAAATGCGATGAGTTTTAATTGCTGACCCACTTAAATAGTCAAATAAGCTTACCGTTAATAAGTAAATCTCCAAAGGACATATATTCCAAAGTATACTCTCAAATGCAAGTACATGTATTTACATTACAACACATGCATTTTGTTTCAAAAAATGTTTTGAAAGCTACATGTACCACACTCAAGTAAGCAATAAGAAGGATATTGAAATAGCGAACATTATTCAATAGCAAATATCAAAGTCCATAAAACTATACAAAATAGGAGCAGAGCAAACAAGGACTTCCAAGACATCAGAGGTGGGATCAGGTGCCACGGAGGAGTGAACATCCCATGCTGACCGGTCACTTGTCATGATCGGGAAAAATCCGTCTTAAATTCAGTGTATATATAATGGACTAAGAATTAGTATGAAAAACGTCAGTCAGCATATGACTCAATGATAAATTGTATTTGCTGACAAGGTCATTGTATCGACGATAGAACTTACCAAATGATGAATTTAAACGAGACTGCTGATATTCTTGTTTCATCAACTTGCTTGTCAATAATTTACCTCGTTTAAGAAATTGTTCATACAAAGAGCATGCTCTTGTGTATCGAATCAAGTGAGATATATACACTCCGTATGCAGGTGATGAAGGTATATTGCTGCATAAGTAAGTGAAGTTGACTATAGAAAAATTAAAGTCATCACGTTTATCATATATCTCGGTTGTTAGATTACCATTCACGTCTTCTTCGAGTAAAATATCCAAGTATAAAACAGATGTGTCTGACTCTGTGGTATTTCTTCAATCTCAAGCTCACCAGGATATATCGTTTCCACGTTGGAATGGAAATTATTATTCTTTTTAAAGTAACAGTTACGATGTCTGCAAATAAATTGGTTAACACGCGTTGGCGTCATATAATTTCATTGCAAACACCGCTAAAATTATGATACTGTATCTTTCAAAAATTAATTATTCGTTGCATAAACCTATATAACTTTACTTCGTGCCTTGCCTGTAATGTTATTTATTTAAATAAAAACCCGATGTTTTATTCTTTTGTAAGCTACAGTTAATGGAATAGCCATTGTTGCAATTTCTGGTCGCTGTGAGCTTGATTTTTTGTATTTTATTTATTTCGTTGAACTTCCTTGTCGTTCAACGATTGTGAGGTCAAAATAAAGACATGGTTTAACCTTTATGACACCATTTCTATATTTTGTTTGTAAAATCTATAGATTTCCTTTTATATTATATGCACAAAATATAACACCAAAACAAAGAATTACAGGTGTAAAGATTATTGATTTCATTTTGACACTCTTAACGTTAAAGTACATGTGTAACTTCATAAAAAAAATTATAATTCGCGCTAACATTAGGCAGTTTGACAAAAGCTAATATTGTTACTCACACAATGAATGACATAAAGATACAAATCAAATATGTTTTTATATATGGATGTTTTATTTTAAAAAAGACATTCATGGTAATTTAACAATCAAGCTCGTGATGACTTTGATTGAACAAAAAACGTTTTCATCAATGCGCTACGCATTTTCAGTCTAAATATTTCTTTGTTACTTCGATCATAGGAAAAAAAATATTACATTCATTTCTTAATTCATCTCATTTTGGGAATTGTTAATATGTAGAGCATGCTCAGGCGTGTCGAATCAACTGAAATTTATAAACTTCGTATGTAGATGATAAAAATATATTTCTGAAGAAGTAAGGAAAATTGAAAGAAAGTTAAATTCATCAGGGTTATTAGATTTTCATTAATGTCATTTTCAAGTACAATATCCTAATATGAAACAAATGCGTCATACTCTGTTGTAACTTTTTTTCTTAGGCTCATATGGATATATCATATCGACATAAAAATGGAAACTACCGATGTTAATTGACAAAACGTCGTCGATATGTGTAAATGACCAGATGAAGGTCACAACAAGTTTTTCATTTTCTTTCCATGCATATGATTTTGCACAAATTCTGCGTCTGCTTCAAAGACCGGTGTCTGAGTTGTCAGTTTGGAGTCCCCGGACCATCTTAACAAACACCAGAGTTAGGTTAATTAATTTAAATTTGATCGTATCAGGGTCTTTGAATGAAGGCCGAGAGGATGGTTGACAGTACTAAGTAATATACATTTTAGTTCCTTATTTCAAAATTCCTTATTTTATTCCTTATTTCAACAGCTACAGTTCTTAATGACTCTCTTGAATAATTAAATCGGATTTATGTATTTTTTCGAAACAAATATACACATCACAAATGAGTTCTTAATCATATAATTTTTTCTTACAAAATTCTTACAAAATCATTAATTTATTCAAATCCTAGCATACTTTTAATTCCTAAATATAATAAACAATAACATTACTTATATTTAAAAGGAAACAAATAACTTATCCCTCATGGAGAAATGGATACGGTTCTAAATCTTGGTCTGTAGTACATCAAAAACGTTAAAAGTAGGAAGTGGGCCTCGGGTTACGTTGTCAGCATTGCAGCAATTTATACAGCTCTCTATACAATAGACCTTAACTGTCCAATGCCTGAATTCTAAACTTGAGACTCATTAAAGGTGAAAACTCATTGAGGTCCAGTAAATGTAAATAAAATAAATAAAAACCATATAACATAATCAAAAAACAACCTTGATAAAATGTTGATTGTGACAATGTGTTGTTATGTAAAAAATGTATTTGAAAGTAAATTTTAAAATAAACTTCATTGGGAAATGTACTCTTTCTCAAGGATTGCCTGACTATTCAATCTGACCATTCAAGGAGTAAGAAATTCCAATTCATCACATATTTACACTTCATATGTTCATGTATAAACAACTTTACCAAGAAATATCTACAAACTTCACTATGAATTTGTCAATAAATAAGATATGATACAGTCAGTGAGGTTTTATCATTAGAACAGTCTTCTTTACAATCTCTTACTATAAGATATAACACAGTCAACCTCTCTCTATTATCAGTCAGTGTAGGCCACCATGGATTGCCTGTCTGTGCCGGGGACCAGGGACCGTTAAGGAAGGCGGCGTAACAGAAGATAAACCACCAGCCTCCTCCGTACCAAGCAGCACAGTTACCAGCACGACCATCTCTATCATTCCCGTCATTATCCCTGTCAGGGGTAGAGAAATTCATCCCAGACAGGTCATCATTAGTATTAAATGCTATCACCTACAGAAATCAAACATTCAAAACATGATAGTGCCTTCTATATTAAACCAGATCATGCATTTTTTCCAATATTTAAATCTAAAAAAGATAATACTATATTTGATATAAATCTATATCGAACACCTTACATTTTCACTATCACCAATCCCATTGCCAGCAATAGAAAATATATTTATTAATTGATTTTTACAAAGACGGGTAAGAAACAGCTGTTTTAATGTAAGATATCATTGCATTATTCCCATATTTGAAATTTTTATTTTCTAAAACTTTTTGATTATTATACTAGAATTACCCATTAAAATAAAAGGACTATGGCTTGAGAGTAAATGTATAAATACAAAAATCGTAAATAGCTAAAGTTTTCCTCTACGCAAAAAAGTGGGTTAAAAAGTATAAATTAAATGATCTTTGATAGCTAGAAAGAAATCAAAATTAAATCACTGGGTTACTCACAAGATAAATCTAATACATCTACCTAAGATTTCAATAGCTGACTCTTCCTGGAGAGAAATTGTATTTTTGGCCTGTTTAAAAATATCTCTCTCCCTCTCTTTATTGATAGTCACAAATATTATTTACCCAAAGTCCCGGTAGCTGGTTCCCGAGAAAGAGTCTGTAGTTGTCTGATTCGTCAGAGATAGAAAACTGATGATAGAGTTCGTATAACGTGGTGCCATTTGTTAATGTAATGGATACGTAGAGGGAGGAGTTCCTTCCCTTAGACATTTGGTGGATAATGTCATTACCTGCATTATATTATTGTTCTATTCATATCAACAAAAACAAGAAAACATTGATGTAACCATCAATTGTCGCCCGGGAAAAATATAAAGTAAACAATGGAAATGAGTCTTGATCATTTAACTGCTTCGGTATGTGTGAAAAGGCTTGCGTCTAATTGATGAAGATGATAGTCGCGGATATTTTGAAAACTTATAGTCGGATGAATATCAAACAAAAAACGATGCCATTTTAAACTTCAATTCTTAGAGTAAATGTTGGCTGCATAAAATATAAATTGAAGTTAGACACATGCATCACCTATATTAAAAAATGTATTTAATTTTCAATTTGAGAATATAAAACACGAACTGTGCAGAGTACGTTTTTATGCGAGAAGTAAAATTCGATGTTTTAAAAAAGAGGACCTGTCGTTTTTTCGATAGTAAATGATAAGCAACTTTATATATCAAATATGAAAAACATACATATATTTAAAGATTCACTTTATGAAAGACAATATATTATGTATCTCGTAATTTATAAAGGGAAAGAACATTCTGATTAACAATCTTTTCAATGTTTAGAAAACCTTTAATTCTGAATAACTACTCCTTCCCCAATCCCCATACACCAACACTTAAACTTATATGTATAGAGCATTCCGGGCTGCAATAAACATGACAAAAAAAGAATTGTAGTAAATTAAGCATAAGATAAAAAATAATTTTACTTAACTTAGTTAACTGCAACTTAAGTTATATTTTCTCAGCAATCTTTATAATTAGTTATAGGATAAGAAATGTTATTTTAACTAAGACAGCAATACAAAAATTTAAGATTTTATTAATCAAATATTCACCTATCCAGTAAGAGTCTGTTACATCACCAAATCCTCTTTCATATTCCTCCCTTGTCCTGTTAAAACCAACAGAACCGCCTATCCGTTTCTGAATTGCCTATAAAATATATTGATTATATTCACAATAATGGAATGATCATAATATTTTTCAACTTCTTATTATGTTCATTTCTTATTCTTATTATTGATTAAAACATTCAAAATATACATGCCGCCCAGGTGGAGCAGTGATAAGAGCGTCTGCTTTAGAGTCGCAAAGTAAGGAGTTGATTTTTACGCTTCGTGTTTGAATTCCACCGGGTGTGATGGTACCTTGTTGTTTGGATAAGACCTATAAACCGGGTCCCATGTCGCAGTATGTGTTGGCACGATAAAGATTCCCCCTTGCTCAATTGTCCGGAGTGCCGAGCATAGGACAAAATTTGTAACTCACCACCGGCAAGTAGTGGTTTTCCCATATGATCGACTTTAAAATTCTCGAGAGGGACGTTAACCAATATGCAATCAATATGTCTTAACAAAGGTATTTCTATAATCAATCGTTTCTTGAAAAAATCCATAGCTTTATATATAGCCCAAAACACGGAAGATTAAAATTTGACCAATTATATAAGTCAATGACTTTAACCCCTAAACGTCACTTAAATGTTGAGCTAAAATTTTTATATTCATGGAATAATTGTCAAAGTCAGATAAACTTATCAAGATTTAATCAAGGTCGTAATTTCAGAGAGGAGGCAAGCCTTTGTTCCACCTATTCTAGGCTTGTGCTTTTTTAAAAAAAAATAATTATTAGCTTTTAACAAGTTCACACTATTCAAAATAAACAAATACAGTGCAAACTGGATTTCTTAGTACCTTTTGTTCTTGTTACAAAACTGCACAATTTCAAATGATTACTTACAACAACCTCGTAAAAAATCCCATTTAATCATATTACCAGGATTATTCATAAATGATCTTATTTCACCAGTTTTGTGTGTATGTTTATACAGTTAAAGAGAGTCTGTTGCCTCTTTCAAAAAAAGTAAAAGTATTAGAAACCTTGCGAATGGAACTGGAACCCATTTTCACGGAATTCAAATGTCTGTTTTTAGTCCAGCCTCAAACAGTTGTATCAAATTTGCCTCTGATTAGAAAGGAATTCTGAGCCCCTC